TTTTTTCCTTTTCGTACACAAACACTTGAGTACTTTTATATATGCTTGTACTTTTATTTTGCTATTCTTCTCTAGTTTCTAGGCAGGATTGGAATTTAGGGATGATTTGAAGATGGATAAGAGTAGGGTCGAGCTTTATATAGGCAAATCTATAAGATGGTTATAGCAAGGTCTCTAAGGTCGAGTGGCTATGCATGAAAGTTTTGTTCTGGATGTGAGTTCGATTCCCATCAGTAGCCGATATCTCAAGAATTATTATAGAGTTCTGTTGATTTGATCAGGGTTTGAACACAACCCTACTAGAAAGACTCTTGATCCAGACCTCTTATAAGACTGTCTAAGACAGTAGATCCCCAAGCCACACACTACCAAGATCCCCAACTCTCCAACTTAGAGTAAATAGATTTCATTCTCATCTATCAAAAAATAAAAAAAAGGAGAGAAACAACTACTCCACTTCACAATCAGCACAAAGTATTTTTGTGCTTTTGCTACAATTTTTTGTTCCTCATTTCTTTTCATTTCTATGTTATGAACAAATTTTGTACATTTTAGTGAGTGGAATATCTAAAATAAATCGTACATGGTGAAAAATATGTGTGCATGAGCGTACATATGAGTGTTTACAGAGGAATTAAATTAATTTTTTTTTTTCTGTGATGAATGAGGAAGGAAAGAGGTTAGCTGTGAGAAGCTGGAAGTTTTTAATGTATTTGATTTTCATTGTTTGTTCTATAATTGGATTTAAGTGGAATTGTAAACTAGTTTTAGGGATTTTATTTTGAGGGAATGATACTAATGGGGAGTAAATTTAGCAGATTTGGAAGTTTTGCTTTATGGAAAGTGAGGATTGTGACTCCATTAAGTGCCCATTAAGGTAAACTTTATTATTTATAATAATATTGCAACTTAAGTATTTTGAGGTTATGTTGACTAAAAGTGTAATGATCAAGTGGTTGACTATTGAAAATTCTGACTTATCTAGCCTAGGTTCGAGACTCGGCTGATGCAATAAAATAAATAAATTAAGATTTTTTGACTTTGAAACCATTAAAATTCCAAAAAATATTTACACGAGCTCACAAAATGAGCACAAAATTCTTTAAAATAATTTCCAACAAAAACAAGAGAGAGAGAGACTCATTTAAATCTATGCTAATATCCACAGCAGCTTCAATGAATATTTATCATTAAAATACAGAAAATTTCACAGCGCACCCAAACTCCAGAACAACTTAAATACTTAACAAGCACTGCTAAATTTCATCCGGAGTCAAATATTAGTTTTTAGTTTTCATTCCATTCAATTTTCGAGTGCTATATCTCTGTACAAAATGTTCAAGTACAATTGTAGATTATAAGAGTATGATAATTATTGCAAGCATTAGATGAACGTAGCTATTGCTATTGTTATGTCAACCTTGAATATTTAAAAAGTTGCTTTTCTATGTACAAAATCGACTTTCTTTTTTCTCATTTCTCATTTCTTTGCTTTCAATTTCCTCGTCGCTTTTTGTTGGTTTATTGGAAATTGAGCTATCACTTAAGTATAATATTATACCGATTGTATGTATGTGTGTTTTGTGATTATGTAAATTTTGAATCAATAAACATTTATAAATTTTTTTGTCAAATAATAAATTTCTTATAGCTATAAAGCAGCTTATTTGATGAATAAACATATATTTTAAATATACAGCACCGTAATCCACAAACATAAAAATATATAAATATATATATGTACTCTAATGTCGTGATTTGAATCATTTTCAACTTACTTTCCTTTTTATCGCAATTATCTACTTTTGCTTTCCAATCACAAGTCTGTTTTTCAATGTCAAATGCTAAGCCGGAAGGACAGGTAATTTGTTTCAAACCGGCACGAGTACATCTATATCGTGCATTAAGAAATTTATTTTATCATGTTTCGTAACATCCATAATGTTAACCAGTTCCATATACAAAGTACCAGCATTATAGTCGTCGTCATCATCATTACCATCATCATCAGTACACACAATGATTATTATTTTTTATATAGTTTTTTTTTTGTGAGATGAGTGAAATTAGTTTCGTTTGTTCGTTGGCCATGCATTAACAAGTTTATATATGAAAAAATCGTAAGAAAAAGGAAAGAAGAAGAAGATGAAATTAAATAGAGAGAATTCGTTAGTGAAATTTGAAGATAAAATTTTTTTTTAAATAATCTGCAATAAAAAAAGAAGTTTTTTAAAAATAAAAAGACTTGGTCTTGGTGTAATTCCATTCAAGTTCCACAAGAGCTACAATCCAAAAGACATTAAATATTAATTGAATTTTACTGGCGAAAAGAGCAGAGTCGTGGTATAAGCAACAGCATTGCACAACGCTAAACACAGAAGATTAAAAATTAACAACAAACTATTATTAACATTCTGATAATTTTTCGCAGTTTACAAGCTCTTACATTTAAATAACAGCATTCTGGCATTTTTGAATTGCTGCAAAACTTTGCTAGATGCTTGGCTGTTGCTTAGTATCATGGCTTGGCCATGAGAAACTCGGATTTGCAATTTCGTATTTAAATTTATGTTCATTTTAACATTTAAAACTTTTTATTTTATTATTATGAAAGCTGATTATGGATGGCTTTCTGGTATCATTCATTGCTATTGCATAAGATGTCGTGTGAAATTGGATTTTACTACAATAAATTTCTCCAAAAATATGAATTTTTTTTATTTTTATTGCCTTTCAGTGTGTTGGTGTAAGTTATAGCTTGTGTCTTATGAAAGCTAGTCAGTGCAATTATTTATGCAATTTATTGATTCGTGTCTTTGGGTCACGATCACAGAAATGTAAAATCTGGAAATATTTACGAAACTTCTACGTTGTTGTAGATTGGTTTTTTTAGGTTGCGGAATTTTTTCTGAGAATATTTGCGATGTTTTTTTAATATTTTTGGAAGATATTGAAAAATACGCAAACAGTTTCATGGAATTTAAGTCTAAGGTATTTTTAAGAAGAGACTAGAAGACTCTAGAAAGTCATCCAAAGCGAATTGAAATATCAACATTCATGACCTTTATAGCTTGATTTACGAATTGCAAACTTTTTGAATTTATAATTTCAAAGCATTTAATTTCTTAATTCAGACCTAGTTTAGCAAACAAAGTTTGTTTCAATCCAATGCAATCACAATTTTCTATTGTACAAATGTATAGTGAAACATATAAGTATCTAGCTATTTACAGTTTTAAAACTTCTAGAGAAACTTCGAAGCTGAACTTTGAATTTAAAGTTGACTCAAATCGAATCTACTCGACTTGAGGCGACTTATCATACAAGCTCAGCTTGGAACTATTCTAAAATTCACTTAAAGATTGAACAACATCTCAAATTATGTACAAAAGTTAACATCCAATGAGCCAAAAAAATGAAAATGTTATGAAATTCAAAATCAAAACCTTAATACCAATTAGACAAAATCATCTTGTTAAGTCCCTATGACAAAATTCTAAAAATGACTATAATCCAAAACAAAACAGTTATCAAGTCCAATAAAATGATCAAACCTCAAATAATCAACACATCTAACAGCCATCATCAATATCGAATATTCCATAACTTAATCCTTCCAGACAACACATGAACGATATTGACCAAATGGATTATTACATCGAAATATGAATGCAATGTATCGGTTACAGAAGTAAACAAAAACTATTTAAGCATACGATAAATGCAATTGTCCAAAGCATGCAGCATCTCATCTCTCATTTTATTGAAGATGAAAACTTTGCTTACTATTTACTCTTAAACGAGCAATTTAGCTCTTTTATAGCAAAAAAAAAATTCTTTGCCTGAAGGACTTTTTTTTTCCGAAGAAAGAAATGAAATTCAATAGAAGTAAAAAAGTAGCAAGTTAAGGGTGGCAAAAGTTCTTCCATGAAATGCCATTTCGAGAAAATTGTAACTGAAGAAAAGTTTCATGTCATTAAATTACATTTTCCAGTCAATAGAAATGTTTTACATTCTTTTCTCTCCTTCATTCTTTCTGTGCTAAGGAAATGCATTAAGTACTCAACTCGATATTCACAATGCGTGAAGATAGGGTGAAGAATAAGAGGAGCCAACAAAAAGCGAAGAAAATTTTTCACAAAATTGTAATTTCCAAAATCGTGTGCAAATGTATGAAAAAGTATGTAGCAGTTATATATGCAGAGTTGGGTGCTGTACTCCACTGTGGATTGAAATACAAAACGAGGTGACAAAGCTATGAATTTGAGATGATTTAGAATCCTTAAGCAGGAATCGGAGACTTCTTCTTAAAATGTGATTCAAGTGGGAATCGAATCTTTGATTTTATGGTTTTCAGTCACATAACCTAACCACTGAGCTATCAGGTAATGCTACATAGATTAGCAGAATCTCAACTTGAACTATTAATCAGATTTGAACTGCATCTTTGGAATTATTCACTTGAAAACATTATCAAGAATCAGACATTAAGATTTAAAATTGAGTCATCTTGATCTAAGTCAGTCACTTAACCATCAAAATATTAAGCCACCAACTCTGTCTGCATATATTAATACAGTCAGCAAGAAAACGGAATCTGAGTCGTATATAAAATAAGTAAGGAAAAGGAAAAGAAAGGAAGAAGGAAAAGACTTAACGAGTAGGAAAATTAATAACAGTAAATTAGTTAAACATACACACAATAATGCTTATGAACGAGTTATACATACACACACATGCATGTGTATATCTTATGTAAATTAAATATTAAATAGAAGCATTTAAGGAAGTAGACAAGTTAAAAAGGAAGGCTGTAAATCAGTCAAATTAGCTCTAATTTGAAAATGAAAACGAGTATTAAGTCGCTAAATGTAGCGTAGACGTAGATGATTTGGGGAGGAGGAAAAGACAAACAATTTTTAAAATGAAATTTCATGAAATGAATCTTGTCGTGCATGCATGAGCCTCATGCACATGAGGAAAATATTATTTTGACTTACTTTCTACATCTTTACAATTTTTAACATTTGTCTTCCAATCACATGTTTGACGTTCAACGTCGAACGCTAAGCCGCTCGGACATCGAATAGGCGCCAAACGAAAAATGTTCGTCTCACCAGAATTATCACACCTAAATTAATTATTTATATTTTTAAGTCATTTTCACTATTATTTCGATCCTATACAGCATCTTGGTCGGATGAATATACGAATTTTTTTTTAAATATTTACTCGTTGTATACAAATAAGCGAGCAAGTCAGTCCGTAAGTAAGTGAATAAATAAATATATTAATATAAATATATTTATAAACACATGTACATACAGGCAGACGGGAGGCGAGATTGGGAGGAAAAAAGATCAATATTGACAAAGTAATAAAAATAAAATAAAAATGTTTTTTACATCATACTTTAAAATCAGTAAGCAAATATGTATGGGCAAATCTATATGGGAGGTAGGAATGAATCTGTAGTAATCGGTTTAAAAAGTTATTTCTATTTATTCTGGGTTCTCTCTTTTTGCAGTAATGACGAAGTTTTGAAAATGCTTTTAGCAAATAGAAAATTTTTTTTTGAACAGCTTGACAACCACAGAATTATTGAGCAGCTTATTGAACGATTATGAAAAGATGTTAGGAATTTTAGAAGGTTATTTGAAAGTTTCTACAGGAACTTAGTTTTAGAGATTTAAGTATGTTGCTCGTAGAGTTGGAAAAGTTTGAAACTGCTTAGGCACAACTCTATTTATTGAATTATGCATGATTTCTTGGAAGATCTAGAGTCTATGTTAAGAATTAAGACAAAATTAATACTTTTAAAAGATCTATGGTACTTAAAGTTCTTCTGTAGATTCTTAACTGCGTTATTATCTTGACTCTAGGTTAATTTCATCCTGAATGCACGAATGAAACCTCAATAGAATAAAATTCAACTCAAGAGATCTCTTAAGGATCGAGGACCATTGAATCAGCACCATTTAAACCTACAATTGTTCCTCCATCTCAGATTCGCCCATAACACCAATGCTTCCTCACATAATACCATCCAATTCGTGTACCATACAGCATCTACCAAAGCGATACGAGAAGCAAAAAAATGTAAGAAACGACAGCGAGAAAAATAGATTTGGAAATCATTAAAAAAAAGTGAAACATATGGCACACGCGAGCGAATATAATGGCGAATGGATGTGGATGTAAGTATGTGTATGTGTATATTTTATAGGCAAATCCTAATAGTATTTCAAAACTCGTTCCAAATGTCACACATTGAGGAGCTTAAAATTTTTTTTTTCTTCTTGTTCCTTCTTCTCGAAGGCGAAGGAACAGCAAAAAAAAAGTTGTACGACTTTGAATAAAAAGCGGTAATTTTTTTTGGATTGTAAGTAACGGAGTAGCTACCAAGTGAGATATCTCATCGTCTTTAGATTTTAAAATTATCATAAAAATTCAAATTTTTTCGTCGTTCTTGACTTTTTATATTTTTTCTTTCTTACCTGACAACATCACGGCAGTCACCATCTGAAGATAATCGGAAGTATTCATCAGCGGCTCTGTCTTGGCACAACTCATCGATATTCTGCTCTTGGTTATCATCATCGTCTTGTCTTTTAACTCTAACATCAGCGCTCACTATCAGTTGCCATAAAAAAATGCAAAAGGAAGAAGAAAAAAAAAGTCAGTGGTTATTGTTGTGTACTTTTTTTGTTATGCCTTTGCCTTTTATTTCCATTTCTAGATTCTTTTATAATGCTTGAGCAATAAAAGGCAAAGTTCATAATTCAGATTTTAATCTGTGTGGCATTTTGCTCCAAAAAAAATCTTTGCTTTTCTTTCTCATTTTTATGCTTTTGGAATTCCTTTCCTACACAAAAATTTTTTTTTTATTTCTTCTTTTCTTCGTTTAAATTTAAAGAGTGCAAATTTGTATGCCGCAAGTGCTGAACAATACTTTTTCTTGCCTCATCTTGTGCAGAACAATAATTGCGCATGCAGTTTAATGAGTTGTAAAAAATTGCGCAAACCATCAATAAAATTTTTTATTTCTTGCTTCTGTTTTTGAGAAACAAAAAAATTGTGGACAGAGCAAATAATAATAATATTTTTTTGTTGACTCGTGTCGCGACATAAAGGGTAGGACTCAATCAATTTGTCGATGAGATGAACAATTTATTAGACAAAAAAGAAAATGAACATAAGAAAATTTTCTAAATCATTTGATTTGTTCGCTTATTAAATTGTTATTTCAGATGAAAACTTTCTGGGGATAGCTATGGAGATCAGGAGGTCTAGAAGCGCATTTTTACATTGGTCGCTTCCTAGATTCAAGTTTTAATGACTCAAAAGAGACAAAGGTAACGAAATGAGATCCAAATACATAGGAAGTCCATAGGAAGTACAGAGAAATTTTTTAAAGTTTTTTGATAGTCACTCTATGATGACCAGATGACCAGATGACCCCAAAAGTTAAAATATTTAAACAAAATTGCCTCCTTCCCAAAAAAAGTCAGCTTCTTTGTAACTTAGGACTTAGAAACCTAGCTAGTGTAGAGCTAGAGTATAGCTAGCGACCCTAGTCCCAAGGATATCTCTGATAATCTAGCTACTAGCGATTAGGGAATCATTGATAATGGACAAACAGAACCACAATATACTCATATCTCCACTACACAAAAAATGAAAGATGGTTAAAGAAGATGAAGAAAAATTGGATAATAATGAAAGGATTCAAAGCTCATAAGTCTTGTGAGAGTTTTCATTTTTTTTACAAAAGTTTATAAAAAGTTGATGAGATGTAAAATAATGTCTGATGATATCGAGTTGATTTACAGCCAAGGTCAACTATCTATTTTTGAACTTGACTCTTTGTCAACGTCTCTAAAGAAAAAAAACTCATTCAACCCAAAATAAATGTTTCACGTTTAAAACTCATGTCTCATTTCGAATGCCTTAAGAGATTTCCGAGAAATTTCCCCTTCATTAACTTCATCAAATTACATAATCATGTTATACATCTCTCCAATACTCAATGGGAATTTAATAACAATAAATATCATTAAAATGTAAAAATTCGTGCGTTACCATATTAATAAGTCTCTGACATGATGCGTCGCGTTGCGTAGGAAATCATCTCCAGTGTCGAAAGAAATGGCATGAAATATGTATAAATTTCTTTCTCTTTTTTTTTCCTTTCGTTACTGTTGTTTACCTTGAATACATTTTACGACACATCATCATAATCATAATGCAATAAAAAGATCGAAACACACCGAAATGAAAATGAAAGTGCCTGAAATTTTTTTTTTATCTTTTCTTCTCTCGCTCTCTCATTTTTTTTTTTATTTTTTTTTTCTGTGAGTAGTATCAATGGCACGTCTTCGTACGCTATTATTATTGTTGCTGTTATTCATTTCTCATGTGTACAAAGCTCTTGTTCAAGATAAATTTATTTTGTATATAAAAAAACGAAGGAAAAAAAAGGAATGTATATATAAATAATAAAAAGAAGTGCGAGAGAAAGGGAATGAAGGTGAATGAAGATGATGTATATGTATCCTATCATCATTCTTTATTGGATAAATTTAACAAACTTATACGAGATGAGATGAAATGAGTGAAAGCAAATACTAAAGCTTCATTTTGTGTATGTGGCCCCGGCAAGCAGCAGCAGCAATAACAAAAATAAATACATATGTACGCACTCTTTGTAGGGTTTGTGTATATCTTATGATAGAAAATCTCTTTTTACTAATGCTCATCAAATCAGAAGATTGAATTTGCTGCCCCATAACAAGAATTCCAATACCCTCCTAAAATATTGGGGTCGTTCAGAAATGATGTAGATTGAAGAATTGAAATTTTGAGGTTATATTCTATAAGAAATTTCAGGAGTTGGATAGATTGAATCTTTTAAGAATTAATGACATGCTAGTTTATGATTCCTATGAAATTCAAGGAATTCAATATCAATATGAGGTGTCCATAACCTCAACACAGCCCCTCCAAAACATCAGACATCACAAATGAACAACCCATCATTGGTTATTGTGAACCAAACAAGATTGTCCGTATCTAGCCTTCTTCATATGTCTTTTGATGTTCTTTTCGACTGACATTACATTCATTCACTTCACTTTACCATCGACTCTAATGTCTTATAAAAAGGAAAATGGAATTACAATAACAAACAACATCAACATCATCGACATGAAATAAAATAAAAAGGAATCGTAATGTTAAGACTAAAAATAAAAATAGGAGGTTGGGGAAATAAAAGATTTCTCAAGTTTCTGACAGTTTTCATCAAATGAAAGAAAATCGGCAATTAATTAGGGAAACTTTTATTGCCCTGAAAGCAAACTCCACACAAAAATTTTTCTTCCTTTTGGTTTACTGAAATCAAAGTCACAATAAATCAATCTCGACAAAAAATTTATTTCTGTATTATTTTTTTCTTTCTTTCTTCCCTGCCTTACTACTCTCTCTGGTATACTCATTTCTATTCTTTCTTTTGGAATATATCTTTATCGCCTCTTACTGCTTTAGTCTTTCTCTCATTTCATACTGCTTTGTGTATTTCAAATCGGCTGGCGGCGCCTTAGCCCTTCAATCGACGCTTTCAATCAAACGAAGGAAATGAAAGGAATTATTTGCAGTAAACAAGAAATTCGAGTTGAAATTATTTGAGTGACACTGATTATGGGGCGAATTTAGCTCTAGTCATCAATAAATTTGTGATAAGTGCTTCTTAATTTGATGAAAAATTATCTCAAGTCTGAAAGTTTTTTATTGAACAAGAGAAACTTCTAAGTTTTATGATCAAGCTAATTAATTGGTTATTAGTTTCGAACTTATTGTTCAATGCTTCATTCACATGTTCAATTATTTTTGACGTCGAGATGAAAGGTAAGGAAGCAGTTTGTGATTAAGACAAGATTTTCGTGGTTCGATGAAAATTAAGGAGGAAAATTCTTTTGAAACTATTTCTTCAATGATTTTGGATTGTTTTGTTTATTTCTTCATGGAATTCCTCATATCGAGTTTTATTTTGCTGATTATTCAGCTAATTGGGTTTATTGTTTGGTTATTCTTAGAACATATAGAAGCAATTAATGGAGCAAGAATTATTTTAGCAACTGAAATTTTTTTGAACCTAAAATGATCCAAAATATTGAAATTTACATTACTGACATTGGATCAATCTATCATTTTCTCGTGGAACTGCCCACCTCAAATATTGTTGATCTAATAACTATTTATTGAAGCATTCAATTATGATGAGACTTTCATAATATTGTACCTCAGACCGGAGCACGCTCAATTTCTAACCACATCGTCTCCAAAAAGTTTCTAAAACCTCAAGAAATCACAAAAACACAAATTTGACATTATCAAACTTTCACATCACAAATAACATTCAACTCATCAGACAAAATGAAACTTCCAATTGATTATATCATTAGAAATTTCGCTAGGAATAAAAAGAAGAAAAAATCATAATGGATCGACCCACTGCTTCATGCCGCATATAATAAAAAAAAATCGTATAAAACGATTTGCACGTAATAGGAGAACGAAAAATTGTGCTTTGGCTTATGCTCATGAAATGTTATCGGAACAGGGAAAAAGAAATGGAACGAGTAAGAGAACGTAAAAAAGCAATAGAAATAGGAGGAGGTGGATGAGGAAAGCAAATGTATGAAATCGATTAATTATATCATTACATTCACATAAAAAGTAATAACATTGAAAGCGAGTTGCAACGTTATCAAATAATAAATGAAATTTTAATTAATAAAAGCGCTTCAAACCGGTTTTTCAATTTCTATGTCTCCATCTCACTCACATGCTATGTTTTCTTGCTTCAAGTCAATATGCAATGAAACTCAATACCGCTTGATATTCGATAAATTTAATATAAATATATTATGTGCAGCATAGAGATAAAAATGGGGAAGTTGACAATGTCGTACAAACTATTTAGTCGTTGTCGGAAAGAGGAAGTCTTATATAAAGATATTGGAACTTTAGTTTAGCTAAGATAAATGTGTGTGTTGAGCTTCTTATTGAGTTAATTGTGCGACTGAACATTGAGCCGTCTGAAAAGGGGTGATTATGTGGCATATTGACTGTGAAATTAGCCGAAACTACTAATTTACGGCTTTTTTATGATGAGCCGGTTAAATGAACGATTACAGATGCGAATGTTGAGACGATCACGGAACTGTTTCGATTTTTTTGTGACAATATGATTAGCATTGTAATGTGAATTTTAGAAATCTTGTGTCTCAAGAAGTTTTGAACATCATTTATGAACAATCCCCTAAGACATTTCAGTTTGTGAAATGCACGAGAAATGATTCTGCATATTTAATATTGCTCACGTGGAATTTTAAATGCCAACCGCTCAAGAATTCCTCGAATATCCATTCAAATGCGTTCCTGAGATACAAAAATTCCAATAATTCCATATCCATTTGACATATTGACTTCCATTGAACAACCACAATCCAATTTATTATAAAATATTCTCATATGACACACAAACTAATTGTGGACATGTTCTTAATGTTTAGTTTACAGGCATGAGACACAAATACGAACGAGATGTAGACGGAGAGTGAGAAAAAAATTGCAACACGTTACGTAAAAAAAATTCATTTTCATTCGAAACCAGTTTTCATCTTGTTGACTTAATAATGCTTATTCGCCTTCTTGATATGTCTGGCTGGGCATAAAGTTTTATATTTTTTGAAATGTCAACTATGTTTGTGTGCTGCTTAACTTTCTCCTTTCATAGTTCGCACATAAAATTAAAGAGCTAAGATGAGTCTCATACATATTATGTATATCAAAAAAAGCCACGAAATAATTTTCATAAAAAACCTCAAACAAATCTCACTCTTTCGAAAAAGCAGCAATTTCTGACAGTTTTCAAATATAAATTTCATTTTTTGTGGACGAGCTATGAAGCGTTTGAATTGGGGTTTATTCATAAATGACGTCAGCAGGATAGACCTATGAAACCTCATAGTATTGGAACAATTAAATCTTGGAAAAAAATGCAGGGGTCACATCACTTACAGTAGCCCCCCAAAAAACTGAAGACGAAACCATTTTAGTCAAAAAAGAAAATTATTTTAAATAAATTATGCAAATATTTCACTCGACAACTTCAAAATTCATTGAATTCCTTACCCATTAACATAAAATAACTGTCAAGGATAGTTTCTTGGTTTAACTAAGCTTCTTTTTTTTCAGAATAGATTTGTAGAATATAAAATAAAGTATTCAGGAGGCACTATCATAACTATTTATGGTTTTCTACCCAAGTAAAGTTTTTTTGTAGCTTGAAAACGAACATCGTCAGCAACAAAAAAGAAATCTTTTGGGTAAGTCTGTACATGAATAGATATTTTTGCAGTCTTTGCACTTTCCGCTGATATTTTCAATTCACGATTTTGTCCTACATAGAATATCGAATCGTTAATTAATTAACAGCTATAGTCATTTAATTAGCAGTAAATAAGTAATTAATACTAAGTCTTTGGTGGGAGTTTCTCATAAATTCTCACGAAAAAAAAAGTATAAATCTGTTGTTAAGGAAGGAGGTGTTCAATCACAGCGGTAGGAATTGCCTGATTATGGATATTAGCTCAATAAATTATCGACTAGCTCGATTTCGTAACATTTTCAATAAAAATTTCACTTTCGATTTTCATCACTGATATAATTTGAGGGTTTTTTAAGCAGGAACTGTGTCGTAACTTCAACCGGTTCACACATTTCACCGGAAGAAAATATTTGCATTTTTATTTTTTGCTTCGTTGACCTTTAATCGAAACTTTATGTAAAAGTTGTTTTGTACAACTTTAAATGGCACTAATGAAGAAATTAAATGAGGTAGGTAATGAAATTGGACTTGTTTTTGGACAGAGACATTGAATTAATGAAGACTTGATTTGGGGTCATTTGTAAGTTACGTCTGTTCAAAACTTCTCTTCGCTGTCTCATTAAAAAATACTTTCCATCAATGTCAGACGTCACTTACGAACAACGCCCCATTCAAGGTGTGGCTACGCCCTTCAAAAAATGCAATTCCTACCCAGAAACTTTCTAGAAATTCGTGTAAACAAGCCTTAACATTTTAAAAATGCAAATTACAGCCAACAATTTTAAATCAACATAAATCAAGATTTTAAGATTTCTCTTAAGCAGATTACATAATAATAATAATGACAATGAAATCGGATTGGACATAATTTATGAAGCTAAACTTGCTGATGTAGACGAATTTTATGTCGATAAGATTGGAAATTTCTATTTTTTGGAGGTGTTGAGAGGTGATATCTTCAAAATTCTTATTGCCTTAGAAACCTTCAAAATGCCGTCTATAAACCGTTGCTCCTTCTCTAGCTCAACTATATCCCAGCCAGTCACAAAAGTATCCCTTACTATCTCATAGACTTGCCCCAAAAACAATCAAGATAGAAAAAAAACCTCTCAAATCGAAAATTGAAAAGGAATAAGCTAAGTATAAAAAGACAAGACACATTGAATGGAGCATGTATATGCTTTCCAAATTGAATCGAATATTCCTGACTCCAGAAATGAATATACATAAACACACAATATTATTATTATTTTTATCATCATCATCAACTTTATTATGTATGTCGGACACGTATTGTCGTTAGACTCAAGAGTCATTGCCACTTTATATATCCACACGATAGAGTTCTGGACTTCTTTATATTGTTTTATTTATTTTTTCATTTTTTTTAAATATTAAAATGACTTTTTTCACTTACCAAAGAGCACAAGTAATGATAAAATTAGAAATGCACTTAATTGCTTTACACGCGCCATGGTTCTGGCTGTGTATATCCTATCACACTAATGGCACAGTGACTATAATAGTGCACCGCTAATAATCAATGACTACTTTCGCGAGTATATTTTTATATTTATTTTTTATTTCCTCTTTTGATGCAAAAACTTCATTTAAGCTTGTAGCTATTCACACTCGCAGGCACGCAATCCAACTAAATGATCGTCGTGTATGATGAGGGTCTATTTATTAAGACTTTCTCTGCGCGAGTGGGGCATGTTGTGCCGCTAACATTTCTTCTTTTTGCTTGTGTATGTCTGACGTCAAAGTTTGGTGGGAACGATTAAGCAGCAAAGTGGGATTAACAATATATTTTTTCTTCTTTATACTGTATTGTAATGTCATGGTTGTATGCAGCCGCAAAGCAACAAAGGGGAATCAGACAGTTGTTTGGTGACTTTATGAGTCAACACTTTAACATTAAGCTGAGACTAAGATGAACAATTTTTTAATGCTTATTGGTTCTGTGGAAATTCTTGAAAAATTAAAATATTTTTTGGTATAGACAGGGTTGGAATGACATTACATAATATATTATAAAACTCAGGTTTGCAGCTTAACAGAAGAGAAATGCTTTAAATTGGCAAGTTATTAAGACAAAAACTTATGATATAATCAGTTACCATCATTGTAATCTCTGTTGATAATTTCTACTGGCTTTCTCGCTTCACACTTTCTCAAAAATCTTCATCTTCATAATGTGACTTTTGAGTTTCGGATTCGATGGTTCCAAAATGTCATTTTTTAATAGTGACTATGATGTGATATATCGGGATTGATTACAAGATTTCATAATAATTAATTTAGACTAGGTTTCAACTATAGCTTTGAAACAGAAACTAAGGAACATGGATATTGATGCATATAATGGGGAAAACGTCAGAACAAGATGAAAGCTCATATTACTAAGTTCAAATAAGGAAAAGACTGTCAATCTTTAGAATTGAAATCATGATAAACTATAAGAACGTAGGTTCAATTCCCATAAAAAATCGAATTCACTCTTGACTTCTGTAAGTCTCGTCAGTTCATTCCAGAAGTCTCCAACCCTGTTTTTATCGTCCGATGTGTGCCAATAGGTAATGTCTACACAAATACTACATGTTAAAACTATAACGGTAACAGGTTTAAAACTCACCACACAAAGTAAAATTAGAAACAAAAAAAACCGGAACTTTCAAGGATCTTTTGCCGAATGAAAAAAAAGTTGAAAATGAAATTAGTTTTAAAAATCTAATATGCAAAAATAACTGCAGTCAATGTTACAAAGAGAATTATTCATCATTGTCTCGCCTGTCTATCCTAATTGTAAGTTTAATAGCTTGAGGTAAATAAATAACTTTTGAATTTTTAATTTTTTTTTTATATCAAATTTTCATTTTTTTGCATAATCTCGTTGGTAATTTCATCTGTAATAGAAAAATTGCCTTCCTTGACTTGCTTCCTTGGAGATAATTTCGGCAAATGATGATGCTGATGCTTTCCACAGCTACATTTAGCTTCTGAAAATATTTTCATTTCAGAGCAAATATTTTTCAAACGTTAAAATAATATTATCTTTATGGAGAGCTTTCTTCTTTCAGCCCAACTGCTACTTCTCCTCACTCTCATTCTCTCATTCTTCATCTTTACAACATTCATTTTCGTTATATGTTTTTGTACTAAGTACAATCAACATTACATTATTTTAATTCATTCATGAATGGATGGAAATGGCAAATCTATAGAATATTACAAAAACTAGCACTTTTTATTCGCTCGAGTTGCCTTTACAGACAACCTTTTTGTCGACTTGTTTTACACTTTAATGATTTTTTTTTTCCATCGAGAGTAAGTTTGAATGTTTGACTAGAAAATTTTTTATAATCGAGGTAAAAGAAAATTTCTTTTTTTTGTAAGATCATCAAAAAAGGGGTTCAAGTTTCTTTTTTCTGTGCGAAAATAATAAGTGGGTCAAGTTTCATTTTCTTTCAGAACAAGTTTTTGGCATTAAGAAATATTTTAGGCTGTGAAGCATGGCATTTTATATTTTTTGATCAGAAATTTTATTATTTTATCATAAATATCAACTTCAAGGGCAGCATAAAATCTATTGGTAGCAAAAATTCAAATAACAATATAAGTTGAATCCCCAACATGCTGATTCTTCAACTTTAAAACTTTTCAAATAGAATAAAAAGCATTTAAAAATGCTAATTAGACACAAGGATTCAGATCATCGTCGGAATAATTTTCTTGCTCTGTCTGGTCTAATATTCTGTTGATTTTTTTAAGTGTGTAGAATAAAGTTTCAATTTTCGTTCAAGAACAGAATCTTATCATAATTTAATAGCCTAGAACAAGATTTTTCTTGCTTCACGTGGCATCAAAAAAGAATCTCAACAGCTCAACATCAAAATGTCACTGAGTCTTCTTGACCTTTATTGAGTTTAGCCTTCGCATAAAATCTGCATTCAATAGACATAAAATGATTCACTAAAACTAGATTTATCTAGTCTTGTTTATTTAGTTCTAGATTTTCGACTAAGGCTATTTATGGATTTACTATGAAGTTCTTAATATCCAATGAATATCATTTTCATAAGGCATGAAATGCTGGCACTCGGAATTTCTTCTCGAACATTAAAGAACTATCGAAATAAACAAGTAATAACCTTAAGTCACAATAATCCATTTTTGTTGACATTCGACGATTAATTTGGATTTTTGTGGACGAAAGGAGAGGTAACTTAAATTATTTATGGAGTTTTGAGCAATTTTGGGGGGGGGTCCTTAAATTTATTTGGAGAATTTTTTAAAAACTTTCTAGAATTTTCAAAAATTACGGTTCAATTGGGATATTAGGAATCACCCGGAATTTACCCTCTCCTTAAAAATCGAACCCCTCAATTTAAGAGATCCTCAAAAATCAAACCCCTCCCGAGACGTGGACCACCCTTGATCCACAAACAGCATTTTACATTCCATCATATTCTAAGAAATGATAATCTTTTTATCCATTTAAAAATGTAAATTATTCACTCTCCATTAAGTTTATTGATCAATAAAGAAAACACGCTGAAGTCATTTTTTTCATCGTCGTTGAAAAATTTACTTCTTACTTGCTATATAAGCTTTTTGTGGATTCACAAAATGTTATTCTTCCACTTCCTCGAATTATATAGATATAAATGTAATACTTAGTAGATATCGTCGGTTATAAGGTTCAACGCGACATCACAACCAAAAGCAATAGAATTTCGTGCCAAAAAAAATATTTTTCTGCTCATTGTATTGGGGCGGGGGGGCCTCTTCCGAAATAAGCAGTACAGAAAAAAATAACAATGAATGAAATGTGAGTTGAAAATTATTTTAAGTGTTGTGATAATATCGAACTTTTGGCTATGATTATGTTGAGAAGATTTGGAAATTTTGCGCCAGAACTTAAAGCTCAATAAGTGCCCCACGGCCACAGCTTCATTCCCACTAGCTATTTTATAATCAAAATTTATCAAACATCAAGATATGATGAATATTGAACTTGAAATGTCAACAGTAGCTATAACAGCCAGCAAACTTAACATTCTTCTAAGTAAAAATGTAAATAACATTTTTTCCCGAGAAGTTTAATGACCAGCAAGTTGGTTTTGAAATCGAAACGAAAACATTGAAACGAAAAATAAAATTAATGCACATACTGATCGAATGTAAACATTAACATTGCGTCATTCTTACTTAATCTCGGGAAAAAACCAGTAACAAAAATTGTTAACTCTTTCATATCCAAATGATTCAATGCAAGCTAATTGATTAGTCAGTTATATTCTTATGAGAAAGATCGAGTCTATGTAAGGTCATAAAAATTATTATAAAATGTGATTGTAATAGCGGTTTTGGATTGAATTAATCATAGAAGTTGAAGGTTTAAAACTGTTGATAATTCTAGAATGTTCTGGAACAATGTAGACACCACTACATACTTGTTGATTACCATCTCTTTAAAATCACCTCAAGTAAGTCGATAATATAGATTTACTGTTAACAAATCGACTATGAACAATGAAACTCTTTAATCTACTAATTCTGACTAAGTTTGGATCGACTATAGCTTTCTCAACTCATCTCAGCTTCACCCTCTGTTCTTGATGCTATAAATTTCAAAAGAATCATGAACTACTAATATTAAGTATGTATTACAACTTACACTACCACCATCTAGACAAAGTTCTTCCAAACAACACTAAAAATCAACATAATCAGCTCGTGAAAATCGCGGTAGTAAAAAAAAGCGAGCGCAAGAACAAAATGAAATATAAAATGCTTGTTTATCGCAAATGCAAATGCAGATTGCACAGAGAATTATTTAAATGCATTTCACAGATTGTAAAGAATTGATTGTTGTTGAATTAAAATTACGTGTGAAACATTCGATGCCATTAACCATTGCTGCCTGTTCAGTAAAAAGAATGAGTAAGTGAGGTGTCGGAAAAGAGGTGGGGATGCGAGAGAGCGATTGCAAAAAAAATAATAATAAATGCAAAATATCTTGTAGCAGCAGCAACAACATGATGATGAAGAATGAGTTTTAACTCACAATTATTGATTATTCATTGAATTTTTTTACCAAATTTCCTGATACCGATAAAAAATAAAAAATAATATAGAGGAGTCAAGCAAGGAGAACAGAAAATGAGGAGAGAAAAAAAATAATTTTTTTGTTGTTGGCGATGATTTATTGCTTCGAGGCAAAAATTCGTTTAAAATTTGTTTCATTTTTCATTCATACAAAAAAAAGCAGAGGAATTTGATTTTTTTAAAACCACCAGCTTGTCTTGTGCGCATGATGGTAGAAAAGTATATATTAGAAGTATTAAACTTATGGGGATTGTTCATAAATTTTGTCTTTATCAATGAATTTAATTTTTCGTCCTGCCAACCTCGAGTTTCATAGTTTCGTACCCCTTTTGTTTAAAACATCTGCAATTCCTCCATGTTTTGATCCTGATACCCTGAGTAGTCCCACAAACCACCAAGAGACATCATTCACAAACAGCTCCCGTTAAATCTTTGAAAAAGCATTTTGGGTTCTAGCTTATTGATGAACATGAATCAAGACAAAAAAGGCAAAGAAAATCGTTGATTTATCTTTCAAAACTACGAAACGACAGACTAATCACTAAGGAAGTAACTAGAGCATTCAAATGATGTAGATAAGCAAAAGGGGATGGATGACATGGGAGAA